GAAAGATAGCGCTAGTGGTGGCGGTGGTGGTAGTGGTGGGGCATCGCCTAATAAGGAGCCTCATATGTTTGTTTGGAGTTCAAATGCATCGCCAGTTTCCGAAGGGAATCTTAGACATGCAATTAATCGAGCTGCTTCCACTGACTATGGCGCTACCGATCCTTCCAAGGTTGCAGGTCTTCGTAAACATGATAGTGCTGCTGCATCGAAAGGTGAGCAAATAATTTTATGATCCCCATCCCTCAAACCAAATGTTTGTCGATTTTGTAAATTGCCAGAAAAGTACTTACATCAGCAGTTTTTGTCAATTGATACCTTATCGAAGGGACAAAAATTTCATTCTTCTATAACAAAATCAAGGAGCTTCGTTGATCTCCTTGACATAGATCTGGTTTTTTTTCTCCACTCTTGTCAAAATTCCTTTGTCAATTACCAAACCGTTTCATAAATATTTCGTTTTTCAACTTTTGTTTTCATTTTTACTAATAACAATTATCAAACAAGTTTTCAGTTCTGAAAAAAAAAGTTGCTCAAAACTAAAACCTAAAATTGAGAAATGAAATAGTAAAGGATCATATACTTGTTTTAAATAAAATTATATTTGTGAAAGATCATACATATATTTGAGTAAACAACACCTTCTCAAACCATTTAAGGAAAAAAATTTGACGAATCTATCAGTTACTAGATTAATCATACATAGGTAATGGAACTTATTTTTCTAATTTAAGGGTTAAATCTTGATTGTTATTTGGTTAATTTTATATCCTTGATTACATGTATAGGTATACACGAATTAATTGAGAATATGAGTCCTGGGAGTAAAATGAGAGGAGATAGCGAGCTTGAGATAGAAGAAGGATCGAATAAATTTCCACCGAGTGTGTCACCGTACAGTAGTAGTTGCCAAAAGAAGGTTGATATGGAAGGACGTGTAGCAAAGAAGCACCAGATGCCTCCAGCAAGTGTCATGACTAGGCTTATTCTCATCATGGTCTGGAGAAAGCTCATTAGAAACCCCAACACTTACTCCAGCCTTCTTGGCGTGGCATGGTCTCTCATATCATACAAGTACATCTCTCTCTCTCTCTCTCTCTCTCTCTCTCTCTACAGTGAGTGCACCCATCATGCATTGTGTAGAAATCACTCAAACATATAACAAATGGTATCACATATTACGTGAACAAACCCTATCTAGAGGTGAAAATTATTGGGTCTCATCTTTACGAGATATGTGATAAAAGGAATGGGATTATTAATTGTGGTAAGATGGTTTATAAAAAAGCAATATATAATTTGTAGCTCGAGTGTTTAGGAGCACTCTTCTTACACATTTCAAATTCATTATTCAGTTTTTCCACCGCTAGCATCTTGTATTAGTCTATTAATGTTATCGAAAATTGATCCACTAAAATGAATTTCCCAATTATTGGCAGGTGGAAAATCAAAATGCCAACAATTGTAAGTGGATCCATATCAATATTATCTGATGCTGGCTTAGGAATGGCTATGTTCAGTCTCGGTATATATTTAACTTCAGTTGACTTATTATATTGACCTTATTGTACCATATGTACTTCAAATGATTTTTTCTTGTTAATTAATGATAGATCATCACTTATATTTCCAGGATTATTCATGGCCTTACAACCAAAGATCATAGCTTGTGGAAAATCTGTTGCAACATTTGCAATGGCTGTTAGGTTCTTAACAGGCCCAGCAGTGATTGCTGCAACTTCTATTGCTGTCGGTCTTCGTGGAGTTCTTTTGCATGTTGCAATAGTTCAGGTTCTCCAACTCAACCTTTCCAACCATCCCCACATTTCTAAAATCTTATGTTAACAGTTTTTTTATCAAATGGAAACTGCATCATAATCCATTCACAAGGGCCTCCACAAACCCTAATACATAATACAATGCCTAATTTAACACAACGTAATTAGATATGCACACTATATATGCCACAAGATTACATATGTAATTAATTGCTTAATTTCATTTTTCTTTCTGCAGGCTGCTCTTCCTCAAGGCATAGTTCCTTTTGTATTTGCCAAGGAATACAATGTCCACGCGGACATACTTAGCACTGCGTAAGTTTATCTATTTATTTGAAGTACATGATGAAAAAGGGACATGATTTCCAAATATCCTGTTTTCTTTTCGTTTTTTTTTTCACATTCACATTCATCTTTATTTTTGTTTTTTATTCTTCTTTATTTATATAATTTAAAAGTCAGAAATAAGTAAGGGATATAAAAGCATAACACTGTATGTGAAGATCACTTTTCTTAAAAAAAATCTGACTTGAATATTATGGTGTTGCAATTATTGCAGTGTTATTTTTGGAATGCTTGTTGCCTTGCCTATAACAATACTCTACTATATTCTTCTCGACCTCTAGTTTCTGAGACAATCAAGGCAGAAGAAAAACACACACAACTGTATATCCAAGTCAGGCTTAGGTGGATGGAGAGGATCAAAATGTCCTTCAGAAAGAAATTCATATGCATGCCATTGGATTCAGTGTTCAACAAAATACACACCATGCTCTGCATCTGACAGCTGAGTACCTTGATTTAGCGTTCACTTATATATTTAATTTTGCTACCTCGTGGTAGTATTATATATATATATATTTTTTTTTTTGGGTGCAGAAATATTAGTATATTAGTTTGGTTAGATAGAAATTATGTAATAGGTTACAGCTTAGAATTAGCCAGAGAAAGGTTAATTAATTGTTACTTGTTTCTTTTTATTCTTTGGGTGTAAATTTTTATGCGTTTATGCACCAATATCAATGTAGCTCTTTGCTTCACTTGGACACAAATAGACCTAGCATTCGTGTTGTGTTTCTCGTGTTCGTGTCGCTTTCGTGTCATACCTGATAGTTTAACGGGCTGTGTCATGTAATACCCGTTGAAGTAAATGGGTAATATGACCCGATCCGAATTTGATGTGAAAATTACTTAACACACAAATTAAACCCTATTGTTGACAATTATAGCAAAGATGTAAGTAGGGATCGTTCTAGACCGGGGATTAACTAGGGATGCTAATCACTCCTTTCTTGGTCTACTTCGGTTACAACTTGATCTACGGTGAGATCAGACCAGGTGCGAGATTGTTATCAGGTAATATGACCCGACCCGTTACCCGTTAAGAAAAATATTTTTTAAATCAATAAAAATGAAAATGAAAAACATAATTTGACCCAAAAAATGTAAAACATAATACTAAATTAGTATATACATACTAAATTTCGGAGTTAACCCTTTCATGAAAGTTGTAAAACTTTTCATTACGAGTTATTACATTTTTCACACTTCTACAATAATTATTATTAATTTTATTAATTTTGCACTCAAATAAAAAATAATGTTCATGAGATTTGGCTGGTTTTAAAAATCTAAACGACCATGTAACCATCGTCTAAGCGTTGAGGATGCAATTATGAACGTTTATTATACTTTCACATCTTTCAGACTTATACATTAATGATTATAAAGAATTTTGTTTATTTTGAACTCCCTTAAAATACTATTCATGAGAGTTTGTATGTTTTTAAAAATTCAAACAATCATATACCCATCCTCAAAGCGTAGAGGATGCGACTACGAGCGTTTGCATATATTTTTCATATTTTTTGCACATGTAAATTAATTATTTTTTTTAAATTTGTTTGGTATTTTTAAATTACTTGATATTTTTATTTTTAATGTGTTTTTATGATTTTTAATCTCAATCTTTGCCTATAATATACTATAAAAATAAAACTTAAATTTTAAAATTTATAGAGAATAATAATTAATAAACAATATATACAAATTCATTATATCTATTGTATTTTATAGTAAGTTTTTTTTAATAGTTTAAAAAATTAAAATAATCAAAATAACTTTTTCCTTATCGTGTTGAAATAGATTACTCACGTGTCACTCTCATGTAAACTTGTTAAAGACTCGTTATTATCGTGTGACCCGATTAGTTATCACGTTGATTCGAAACCCGTTATTTTCGTATCGTTTACGTGTCGTGTAAAAAATTACCAAGTCTAGACACAAATCCATGCAGTAAATATATATATATATATATATATATATATATATACATATATTTCGACCTAGTTTTATTTAGTTGTACTTTTTTAGGTGGTAGTTCGGGTTTTTGAAGAAGAGCCTGCAGAGGCTTAAGGTTGCAGAGGGTGATTTTTTTTTCATTAATTAATTAATTATTAATATTTATTTTTTCACCCCAACGTGGTAAATTTGGTGGGCCAAAGCTGCGCCATATTATCAATTAAGGAAGCATTTGACAGATATACTATCGGAAATATAAATATTGTACAGAAATCAATCTTTTAAGTGTGAAAGTGAAACAAAATATTAAAAGTAGCAAAGTACAAATTTCACAATATTTAAAGATAATAAAAGTGACAATTATCCTGTTTATTAACACCAAATACTAGCTTTTAAATTTATAGATTCACCCAATCCAGTTCAGCTCCACATTATATTATATATATATATATATATATATATATATATATATATATATATATATTATACCTATACTAAAACCCCAATGACGTTGTACTGTTCACAGACAGTGCGCGGACCAAAATGCCCCTCAATTCGTTTGTTAAGCCACTTTTTGCCATCTTTTTTACAGTAAAATGACTTCCTTGCCCTCCTAGGCCATTCTTCTGTCATCGTGTTTAAAGCAATTGATGGCAGGCAAAAAATATATTAAAAAATGTGAATTAAATCCGGCCACATGTTGTGTGGCACGACAAACTATAAAAATTTATAAAAAAAATTAGAGCAGGGAAAGAAAATGATTAAAAATGGTGAGGCCGGTTTGGTGCTCTTCTACACCACGTGTCCACCATCCGTGACCGTGAAGCCTTTCTTTTTTTGAAAGTTTTAACGAAAAACTCACAGTACTGTTCACTTTAACAAAAAAAATCACATTTTTACATTAAAAAGTCAAACTTGATAATATTCACTTTACCTTTATTTTGTCCTTATCATTAAAACTCAAAGTTTTCAAGGTCTTTTCATAAGTTTTTTTTTTCTTTTAACCTGTTCTTGGTTTTTTAAACCCACACACATGATATGTGGTACAGAAAAAGATAAACAAATGATAAAAAAATCGGTTGTAGGACGAAAAACTGATTAAAAAATATCAGATATTCAACCCGACCACAGGATTGTGGCACAAAAAGGATAAAAAATGATATTCTATTCTATATATACTAAAGCTCAGCGGATGGGTACTGTTCATTAACAGTGCCCATCCGGTTTTACCCCTCTTTCATTTTTGTTTGCAGCTTGCTCCCGTTTGAAAGGTGCTTTTTGGTGTTTTTGGTTGAGCTTTGGCCACGTTGCGTTTTGTAGGAAAGATACTGGAAGAGCATTACACCTTTACTTCCACTTCCAGCATCTTTCACTTTTTCATTTCCTGTTCTTTTCTTCTCTCTGTTTTTCCGTCTCTCTTTGCGTTTCTCTGTGTGTGACTCGCTGTTTTTATCGCGATCCGATCGTTTAGAAGGGTGGTTGATCTGTTTTTTCCCGCTGTTTTCCGCAGAGGAATCGCAACGATTTGGGTGCGTTGGTTGTTGTGTGCCATTATTCTGTGCTTGGTTGGTAAGAATTTTTTTTAATTGATTGTTGTAAAATTCGATTCCTGCTAAGTGTTTTCTTTATTTTTTCCTATTTTGCGTGTGGATCTTTTGTCTGATTTTGTTTTTGGTTGCAGGAAACGTTTATCTTCCAACTTTAGGGTTTTGTTGTGGGAGTTTGCAAACCCTTTCTGGGCCAGGTATATAGTTTATCTTTGCACTGTGCTTTTTATTAGATCTTGGAATTCACATTTTCGTTTTTTTTTTCTTGGGTTTTCTTGGTTTCCTGAGAAAATTGGGGTTGTTTGGCTTATATTATATTGCACAAATTTGAGCTAAATTTTACTGGGTTTGTATTTGTTTTTGGAATCGGTCTCCAACAATCTTCGTGATCTTCACGTTTTTTCTTTTTAAAGTAAAATTTTATGTTCTTCTTTTCTTGATGGATATGCTTTTGTTTGTAGGTTGATCATGTTGTTTCATTTTGTGAAACAGTGTAGCCTTTGTCAATCAAATGCTTTGCTGAAACATCCAATATGAAGAATAAAATAACTATGGTAAGAAGCAACCTAATTTCAGAAATTTTATGTGATTCAGTTTTTAAATTATAATCTTCTAAAAACCTTTTGTAGATTGCAGAGCCATTGGAGAGAGGACTTGCTGAGGACATTGAGAATGTATAAAAGCTACAGTGTTCGTTTCTGCATTGCAGGTTGAGTATAATTTCCTAGATTTGATTTATGCCTTCAATCGTGTTAAGTCGGTTAAATGTACTATTTGGTTTTTGGGGTTGAATAATGATATCTGAATCTTGGGTTTAAAATTTTTGTAGCCTTGAGTTGAACTTGATCCAGAGCTAATGCAAATGGATTTTATTATTCCTATATATAAATGAATGATGGCTGTTGAAATTTTTTTCATTTATTGATATCGTAGTTTGCCATCGTCTGTCCGATTCCTTCATGTAAAAGTATTACTGATAATTAATTACAACTGTATTAACATTTTGTTTCAGTTGTAACTTCTTTTTTTTTTCTCCGGATGATCCAAATTGTTTTATTTGCAATGAACGCTTAAAGGAAAATGTGCTCTTATGGGATATTCCATGTTCAAGTAATTATACAAATGAAGCACTGGGATGACTGTCAATGAGGAATACTAGACTAGCCATTTTTGTATATCAATGACAAGGCATTTGACAATGTCTTTTCTGTAAGTCATATAAACTTAGACAACTTTGTAAAAATATTTGCTCCATTTTCTACATGTTTATCTTAGTCTTTGGTTATTTATATGTTAAAAATATAGTCTATAGTTATATTTTCGCTCCCCCAACACCGTGCGGGTAAAATTTACTATTATATACTAAAACCCAAACTCTGGTGCACTGTTTTTCACTGTTCGTGAACAGTAAAAGGGCGGAAATGCCCCTGATTTTTTTGTTTGCTTAGCTGTTTGCTGCTGCTTCCCACAGCTAAAAGACGCCTTTGCCCTTCTAACCCATGCGTCTGTCTTTCGTGTGTTTTTTGGTTCCATCTTCTTTTTGGTTCTATCCTCTTATACACGTGTTGCTCACCGTTGCTCTTTTAGGCTGCACGCGTTGATCATCGTTGAAGGATCTGCTTGGATTTCTTCTCGACCTTTTCTTCTGTGTTTCTTTCTCTCTCCCATAGCATTTTGCTTTGTTTCGAACCTGGCTTTCTTCCTCTCTCGCACTACCCCTTTTGTTGCTGTCTAATGTTTCCGTCTTTGTCTCGGCGCGATCATCCACCGCCGTTTTTGTTGCTGGAATAGTTTTCTGCTCCTGCGAATTTCTTTGGTTCGAAAGCCTTAGGTGGCTACAAGTTTTTGCCATTTCGATTTCATCGAAATTCATTCTTTTCCTCGCGTGATCTAGCGTTTTCGAGTGAGTTTTAGGTCTTTTTCAGTATGCCTAATTTAATTTCTTTTTTGTGGTTTTTGATTTGCAGGTGGAGGAGGTTGTGTTTGGATTTTTTTTCCTGTGATTTCGGGGTTATCTCTGTGTGCTTTGATCTTGCGTGTGGTTGTCTAATTTGATTCGATTTTTTCTTTCAGGAAACACTGGTCATAAAATTTTAGAGCTTTTGTGTGCAGCGTTGGTAGCCCTTTGTGCTGAGTGTATACAATTTTTGTTTTTCCTTTTTGAGTCTTTTGTTTAAGAATTTTTTTTTATTTTTTTTGGGTGGCCTTTGGTCTGCAGATTCAACCTCTATTTAAATTTTGGTTTTTTTTTCTTTTTCTATTTTTTTCAAAATTTGGTTGTTTTGTTTATGTGTTCAGATGCCTGATTTTCCGACTAGGCGATTCCGGCCGATGACCAGAGAACTAGACCTCGCTACTATCGGTAAACGATGCCTCTTACTCCCATGACAATTATTCAGGTATTGCATATTGGATTTCAATTCAGTTTTTAGAAAACAGACAGGTAGTTCTTTGATTCTGCAGGTGAAGATAATACACACGGTAACAGAGTACTCCTGCACCTCTAAATAACGGGTCAACAACCCAACTCCAAACTAGCAAGCAACAGACCATCCATAACCCTCATAAAGTCGAATGGGCCACCACCAGGAAGGCCCCTCCAAACCCTCAGCATCAGCATCTTGGTAAATCTCACTCATGCTCTACTTCACAAGTTCATTGTTATTTTTCGTAATATATTCTGATTTCTAGAACTGTAAATTTGGATGTGGAAATGAATTTTCTGTGCAAATTTGGATATTTGGATGTTGGTTAAAATTAGGGGAATGGCTCCGATTTTGTTAGTCAATTAATTTAATTTTTTGTTTATCTCAAGCTTCTAAATGATTTCCTGCATCATTGCTTAGTTTTACTCACTGAAATTTGAGGGGTGAATTTTTTACCTTATGACCTCATTTGTGATTATCAAGTGCATAATTTTCTTTTGATCAGAATTCCTTTGAAGTGAATGCCAAACTGCGGTGTGATGTTCAAACTTTGTGGCCTTTTGAAATAGTTGGGAGCATAATTCATTCTACTACAGATTGTTCCCCTTTCCATTTCCATGAGGTAAAAGCTCAAATCTCTGTATTTTTGTGTTGGAGAAGTTGGTGGAACAAATTGTGCATTACTCTACATATGACCAATGTCTATCATTTTACCTATTTTGATAATGCTTGAATTATGCTTCTTGGTTTTTAATTGGGTTTTTGTGTAGTGAGTTGGATAGATAGTTCATAGCATAGGTTTGGTTGCATATTTATTGGACAAAGAAAAACACGGAGAGGCACAACACACTGAGGATAAACTTTTTGTCTTCAGGTTAGCACTACTGCTTTTTCCTACTAGTCATAGGAGTGCTAATAGTGTTGAGAACAATGCCTAATTTAGTTTAACTTTTCTCATTTTGATAATTACCTTTTCCACTGCCTTCTTGAACTTGGAATTAGTTTGATAGCATTTTGGTTTTAAGCGTTTATAAAAGTATTTCATTCATTGATCTATTAACTCTTATTTTGTTGAAGATTTAGTGCTAAAAGCTAGGAGTTACAAGTATTACATTCCATTCACCAAGTCATTGATATATTAACTCTTATTCGCTAGAGGATTGAGATTTTAACTCTTCTCATCTTTGCTGCAGCCAATAACAAGAATAAACATTCTCCATTGCTTCGCCTGCTTCTACCAACAAATTGAAACCTAAACATTAAAATTTCATCACTATGATTTCACCCATTTATCATAAAATTGGTAGACATAACTTCATACCATCTCAGAGCAGAAATAAAGGTTTTAATTTTCTTTTACTCTGTTATTGCTCACTCTCTGTTTACTTTTCCTCAATTTAAGTCTCCAAACAAGCTACCGTTTGTAAGTCCTATCAATCTTCAATTTTTATTTTTCTTGCTTTGATTTCAGTTTTTTATTACTAATTTTAATCATTTGTGTCCACTACTGATATCTTGGTATGTTAGTTTGAAAACGTGTCCCTTTGAATTGTAAAATCTGGCAAATTATTTGAAGCAATTTTGATTTCAGCTTTTTGGTCTTTACAAATAGGAAGATGAGGAGACAAAAATAAGTACAAAGGGATGGATTTAGCTTCCACTTTTGAGGTTCCAGGCACCCAAAAACTGTCGACTGGTGAGCTCAAAAAAAAAAAAATTTCCCAATTTGATATAAAGTTTGGATTTTCAAGTCGGGATTGGATTTAATTGTACATTTAATTTGATGGGTTCGATTTATATGCAAGGACTTTGCTTTTATTAATGCATAAAATACTAATTAAATTTTAATTAAGATGCTAACTTTGTAGGTACCCTGGAATTAACAATGTAGCTGGAGTTCTCTACTGGCTTAAGCACAGTAGAGAACTCAAGTACAGATCTCTCTATCTGTTTCTCAATCCTAGAACCTCTAGCCTCCGCAAGAAGGTTCGTCTCTCTCGCTCTCTCTCACTTTTTTTTTTAATTCGTAATCGAATTTCCTTTGCATAAATGCTAGATCTGTTGCAGTAGGGCCGCAAATCCTACCCTCTGTTTGTTACTTTGTTCCAATTCTTGCAATCAATTTTCATCGTTTATTTGGTCAATTCTTGCATTGTTTTATTTGGTGAATTCTCGATTAACGACTGGTTCTTCTTGCTTGGTCTAATTGGGTAACTTAAGAATTTCATCTGTTGATTAAATTTCATGTGAGAATTTTTTTTTCCTGATGGATCCTTTTTTTTACCCTTATTCAATTTTTTTTTAATTATGTAGCCGAATGAGTTCGGTATTCCTTTGGAGTCTCTGCAAGTTTAAAGTAATCTATGTTGTTGTTTTGATTGTGCGTTTTGAGACTTACGCTATTTTAATAAGAATGTTTTCAATTTAGTGTAATCTCAATCTCAATGGGTTTTTATGATACGCTTTATCAGTGAATTTATTTACATTTTTCAATGTTGGTCTCGACGATTTTGATCACTACACTGTGGATTTTATTTGAATTCCCAAATTTTCTCGAACATTTGACAAATGCTTCTTGAATAAATTTCGAGTAAAGAACATCTAAATATGACAATAACATCTAAATATGACAATTTCAGGGTTTCAAATTCATTGGAAAATATGAAATAATATTGCATAGTTTTTTATTAATGTGAAAAATTGGTACTTTTGTAGTGATATATGCTTTTCTAGAAAGTTGTAAAGTTTGATACTTTCCGGCTTTAATCTATTTTTTCCGTTGTCCTAAGGTATAGATCCCCGCATTTAATTTACTTTTTTTTTTCAGGAGCAGTTTGAAGGATTAAAATGTTGTCATTTGGTATAGATGATCTTGGTTTAGCAAATTGATAGCGAGATGGAACACCCCTAACTGCGTTGTAAGTTCGACTCACTCATCCTATAAGAGTTGCTTCATAATTGTAATATTCAAAACCAGATGACTTTTTCAGTTATGGTTCGATTATTATTTTCCTTTTCAGTTGTTATTCTTCATTTTTGATGTGGTTGCTGTTTGTGATTTCCATTCCATGTGATCCATACTCTCAGTTTTCTTTTCAGAATTCCTCTCTTTGCCTTTTCCCAATGTTAATATTTTTCTCCATGATAGAAATTTTGGGGTCTATGTTAATGTTTTATTTTATTTTTTAAATTTAGATCCTACAAGTTCAAGGCATTGATGATGGAATTAAATTCAACGCTGCTCATTATTCCTTATTGTAGATAAGGTTGTACAGGAGCAAGATGTAGCATCGCGCGGGCAGTCTTGCTAGTATATCCTATAAACCATTCCATCCTAATAAAAAGGAAAATTTCCTATACAATTTAATCATTATCGGTTATGGGGTAGGAGCCCTCATCATAGTTACCATGATCCATGTCAATATATTGCAAACGACCCATTTTTTATTTGGTTCCAATTGAACGAAACAGTCCATCTTAAGGTTACCTTCTAAGAATCAACCATCTACAAAATCATCTATGCACAAATCTGCACAGTTCAGATAATTTTTCCAGAAAATAATTGATAACGTAAGTAAAAATTAGATAGTTTCGATCATCTAAATGCATCACGTTGCACCGCAATAAATAGATGGATATTTGTATAGCCATTAGGTTAGATCATGATCCAAAACCACGCATGTGTGGAGTTCCTTGGTATCACCTCAGTGGCGAAGCTACATGAGGACGAGGAGTAGCGGCCGTCCCTCCCTTCGCCGGAAAACATGCCTAGGAGCGCTAGTTCAGCCTCTCTGCTCTCGTCGAAAATGAGAATTTCCGCTCCGATGATTTGGTTTCTGCTGCTGTGCAGCAAAGATGGATTTGTTTTTTTCCTCTTTTTTATTAGATTTTGGAGAAGGAAATCTGAAAAAAAAATGTAGTTGCACACGGACGGAACTTGCGAAGAAGATGAAGGTGTGTTTGATATTCCCTATACCAAACGGTGTCGTTTGGCAATGCTGATCATTTTTTTATATTTTTCTCTCTTAAAAATTAAAACTGATTGTACAGACACATTTGTTTACATTTTTTTCTCTTAAAAGTTAAGACTGATTGTACTGACACACCCTTCTCCTTCGGTCCCTTCTGCCCCACTTTGTTTTCCCATTTCCCCCTCCTCTTTTTTTCTATTCTGACCGCACCTTTGTTTTGGTTTGTTAATCAATTTCTTTCTCTTTTTTATTTTATTTTTTATTATCTTTCTTGTATGTATTTTCCCTCTTTTGAATACCTCAACATATGTATTTTAAACTCTCACATTATCTATAAATATTGTATTAATTTTTAAAAAATAATATAAATATTGTTTAATGCTTATTTTACAATAAAAGAAATTCATTTAAATCCATCTAGGCTCCTACCTAAATCTCGCTTAGGCGCTGCAGGCTCCAGTCCGCTGCCTGACTAGTGCTTAACGTTTTTTTAGAATCTAATCCTAACTAATTTAAGCTTCTTACATGGCTTTAATATTACCGTTTACAACCGCTTTGGTGAAGAGATGGTTTGCTGTTATGAATATTGATTCAAAATTTTGCACTCTCCAATGTGAAAGCAACCATTTCAATTGAACCTTGCACTCTTTGGAATTTCGCCCCTCCCCTCCGTAAATCCTGGCTTCGCCATTGACCTCAAAGGTGATCTTGCCAGCTCTTCTTAAGCATAAAAAATATGGGATTTAGGATGAGATTCTATGGGAAATTAATCAATAATAAGATGTAGAAACTTGAAGACATTGGACAAGGAAAAGTATATAATTATTGTTTGTTATGCATCTATGTTATTATTGACATAGTTTGCGTATATATTCTAACGCTTTCTCACGTGATGAAGCGAAGGAGTGTCGTCTATTATGCACATGAAGGTGTTTTTCTTTGTAAATCTGTCTTCTCTCTGAGACGTGTCTGCAATACACAAAACAGAGATAACAGCTCCTGAAGAAATTGAGTTACACATTTACATTTCCGAATGCCTAGAATACCGATATTTACATATTATATGCAGATTGTAAGGGAAAATTAATGATTTTGTAAAAAGAAAAAAGAAAAGAAAGGTATTAATGTTATAAATTTATTGCATATTGATGACAAATATGAGAATCGTTGTCCTAAAGAAACTATGCGGATTACTTTTATGAATTACTTATTTTCATGATTTAGTGAAAAACAAATTATCCAGTTCGAAAATGTGACTACGGGACAGAGGTTCAGGGCCGAAGGGGTAGAGGAAGACCTAGGAAAACTTTGGAAGAGACCCTAGGAAAAGACTTGAGTACTTTGATCTAACGGAGGACATGACACAAAACCGAGCGCAATGGCGTTCTAGGATTCATATAGCCGACCCCACTTAGTGGGAAAAAGCTTTGTTGTTGTGTTGTTGTTGTTGTTGTTGTTGTAGTGAAAAACAAATTATCTATTAACATTGTTTTGTGAAAAACAAAGTACCTATTATTTAAATTTCAAATGAAACAATGTACCCTTTTCTTGTTCGAAAGAGCAACAATCATTAAACAATATATAGTAGTACATTTGAAATCAAAACTATAAGCAAATAGTGAGAAGATATAAACGACGCTGCTTCAAAAGCTGGCGGCGTCAAATCCTGCTCTTACTTTGATCAGAAGCTGTTTCTGATGTACTTGGTAGACCATCCTTGTTCAATAAATGCACCAACGAAGATGGAGGCCTGTTCAGCCAAACCAGATTGGTCATCCCCATATCAAACTGCAACGCAAAAGAGTGTGCTGCCGTATTGCCTGTTCTTGGAACCCAAGACCAGTGACAAACTTGGAAGACATTCCTAATCTCCATAATCTAACAAAGAACTGGAAAAATCTCCCAATTGCCATCTTCCACTTCCATCTTCAACCACCTTATAATATTTTGCGAGTCAGATTCGACAATGATATCTTGACAATTCCTGTTCTTCGCAAATTTACAACATTCAAGCACCGCTAATGCCCCAGCCATGATAGCGATGGAACCTGCGAAAGGTCTGTGACATTCCGCTCATGGATGACTCACCTCGCAACCCTCCATGGCAGAAATAAAAGCTGAAGAAGAAGCAGAGATTGCATGTATCACCTGGATTGGAGAAGGCAATTTGTTCTTCATCACCGCATTGCATCGGGCCTTCCATATTTGCCAACAAGTAAAAGCAATGTGTGTCAATATTCTCCTTTTCTCCTCCTCCACTGGTGCCGTCTCCATCACTCTGAGAAACAAGCATCAAGTTAGTTATATATCGCCTTCTCCACCTAGTAATTTAGGACTCCACCTAACCAAGCCAATTCTACACCCTGTTCTTCATAAATCTACCACTAATATACCTTGAAATTTGAGAATCTTTTATTTCAATCCAATCTTAGAGACTAACACGACCATAAATTAGTTAGCACTTAAGAAAGACCACCAATGAAACTGTTGCTTATTGTAGGGAAATCAAATCACATTAACAAGTATAAAGGAGGATTAAGAAGTTTCATTGGAGCCCTACCACCAATGGATCGATCATGTAGAAAATTTCAGCTGGATTTTCTCTTCTTTTTTTTTTTTTTTATTTATTATTATTTTTTTTTTTTAACAAGATAGTATTTACACTAGTGAGTGAGGGAGTGAGCTTAGCCTCACACTGGGCTAACCATAATAATGTGGTTCAAATTCATCTTTGATAAGAATCGAAACTAAAATCTTTTACTTACAAGTGAAAAAGAATACCACTAGACTGTAGTATAAGTGACAACTGGATTTTCTCTTTTCAAGCAAAACTGTACAAAGGCTCAATAGACTTATTATTATGTAAAATGCCACACTAACAAACTTACACCAAGTATAATTGTAAAACTTCAGACCAATGCTTTGGCAAAAGAATAGAGAGGTACAAGAGTTTGGAAAACTTCATCGCCAAGATGTAGTAAAAGGAAAACCCTGTTACATACATAATCGCCATGCTCGGTTTTATTTAAGGGGTTGATTTCCACCCTTGAGAAGGAATGACAGAAACAGACTCACAAAAACCAGTAGCCACGCCGTCAAGTGCAACATTTCAATCAAACAAGAATAAAATGAAACACATGATTAAGCAGTAACCAGTATAAAGATAACGTTTGATTCGCTAATATATATACAGTGTTCAATTGCATCCAAGACAATGTTGGAGAACCCAATCGAATCTACAAAACCTTGGAACAGGTAATGCAATATAGACTAACACCGGATCAGCGGACTAACACCAAACTCTAATTCATGGTAAGCATGGATAGAGCTTTGCCTTTAAAATCAGAATCGAAATTTTTGAATCTAAAGACAAACAAATGAAACAATGCCCCAAGTTAGTGATGAGTTAGATCTTGTCTTGTATCTACCTTAATAAGTTAGACAGATTCCGAACCATAATTTCCAACGTGGGTGTAGCTGTTTTCTTTAGATTTTGGTAAAGAAGACGCTTGCCGAGGGAAAGTTTTGTTTGATTGCAGCTTCAAATTAAGGTAAGTGTAAATGGACATTCCGGCAATGGCTGTGAAAGCCCCAGAAATGCTTGTCTTGCCTGGATTGGAACTAAAGAGGTAATAGTTTCCTAGAAGAATGACGCATGTTTTAAATTGACCAAGAACGACATGTGTGACAGCAGATGTTGCCCTGCCAAAGATGAAAGAAACAAAAAAAATCAAGCATGTCAAAACCAACCGAACCAAGCAAAATAAGATTTTCATGCTAAAATTCACAAAGTAAAACCAAGCAAAATAAGATTTTCATGTTAAAATTCCTTGTGAGCAATGAATTGAGTGCTAGCCTAGTGTTGTTATGTGCGGGTAATAATCTTTAAGTAGTAAAAATTATGTTGGTATGTGTTGTTTAATCCTCACACTTAGCTATATATCATTGGTAGTTGCCTAAGATTGATAAAGATAACATCCAATTGTTGCCCATTTTCAGCTAGAGTATGCACTTTCAAGAATTTTGTTGCTTGGTCCACTAGTTTTACAAGTGCAATGTTGTCGATACGGCTGATTTGATAGTCATGAGGTGTTACATGACCCCAAAATCAAGTGAAAAGGCTTTGATCCACTAGACAATGGACAAATAAAAGAGTAAACTGCCAATTTGACCCTGAATTATTACCCAAGTGAAAATCGAGTTCTTGAACCATTTTTTCAAAATAATAAGTCCTTAAGTTCATTAAAAGCTTCCAACTTCATCTCTACAATAAGATTCGAAGTTATTATATTCAATTTTCCATCAATTTAAGTCATGGCTTGCACGTGATACATTTTAAAGGGCAATGCTGTCATTTCCTCACCCTTAGCCTTGTATATAGGTTGCGAATCTAACTTCCAACTTACACTATAAAGCTAACTCCATACACTAATCTTTTTCAAAAAAATGTCCTTCCCGAAAGGCCAATTTATACTTTTTTTTTTTTTTTTATCAATTTGAGAGGTGACCAATTCTGACAGTGTACTAAATTGACTAGTTTGCTCATGCTACTGACCAACGTAAACTGTAAACTAACAACATCGGAGGTCAAAACTCTTCTTCCGACCTAAACTATGGACCCAAAAATCCACACATAGGATAATCAGGAAGAACAAACAGATATCACATACCCAAGTGCTAGAGCGCCTGACCACTGAAGCAAGAAGCCAAGAATAGCTGACATGAGAATTGCCAAGGTGTTGTTGAAGTTCCAATTGAAAGATAGGGCACCAGGTGGATCTAACCAAGGGATTAGTGCGACAAGGAAAAATAGAGTGATTGGCGTTGTCTTCCACATTAATCTGTTCAACGATTTGCATTTTAGTTCAATATCAAGGAGATTCCAGTAACTTAATGGTTTCGAAGGGAGCACCACTTACGCTAAGGCTGTCCAATTTTCCTGCTGTTGCAAGCTAGACCAAAGAATTTTGTTGACTGCACTTGGTATTATCCATGCTAATGCTATACAAGCACCAAAGAGATGAAATTGCAGATCAGTTACTGTAGCGACGGCAACACCAATCGATACTACTGTAAGTGCTAGAACCTGAAATTTCGTAGCAAGGTGTTAGAACAAAAAGGAAAAGCTGTTGTAGATGACTTGTGCATAAAATTTTGTATGAGAAGAACAATGATTAAAAAATGAAAAAATAAGGGAATTAATCAATTCCATGTGCAAGGAACCCATACAAGCACCCTACATACTAATGTATCAAGGCCGAAAGAATTAAGTAATGCATTTGGATATGCATGCAAGATTTCCTCCATATCTCTAAGAGATCTAAAATTCTGATGTAAAACTTGATAAACGCAGAAATGGTGCCAAGAAACAATAAACTCATGGTGAACAGATCTACTCAGCATATTTCTACTGATATAGTAAATTACCTCTGTCAGCGGCTAATTCCCGGGTTTACAATCTAATACAGTTTCCAAATAGTATTTTTTCATAATAGGTGGGACGAGTTGGATGTGAGGTCTACATCCTCCACATTTCAGAGTCTTGAGAGAAGAACAAAAAAATTATTGGCGATAGTGAAGACATTACCCGAATTTTCAAAAACATGTAAACCAGATATGAATAACCTTTTCAGTAACAAGTGCAACTGGACAGGAATTGTGGCGGAACTTTGTGTTCTACAGTCTGCTAAAACAATAACTCGGCCCGAATAGCAGGAATATAAAACTGTGTTTTATTTGCATATTGACATGGCACTTAAAGGCATAAACGAAAGGAGCTACCTTCGAGAAAGAAACTCTCTTGTTGTACAACAAAAATTCTGCGAGAACAATTGATGGCGTAACCGCAATTTTAGACATCTGATAAAACCCCACACTGAAGAAATAGATATTAAAATCAATGTTGAAAACATATATATAATTATGAAACAGATTCTGATGAGATTTGGTAAGGGTAAGAATAATGATGAAGCATCTCACCTATTATACTTCAAGCTAACATTTGCAAGGCCAGTAGAGAAAGCCATGACAAAGCCAAGAGTAAATAATGTAGATGAGCGGGTCGATTTTGAGGGACATGCAGAGAGGATACAAAGAGCATTTAGAAGGGCCATTAATAACCAGCTTACTACATAGTGGATAAAGGTGAGAAATATAGGAAACTGGAACCCAACAACTTTGAGCACCTGAAGAAACACAAGATTGTAAGTTACCAGCCGGAAAGCCGCTGTTTTTATATCCAGTCAGGCAAAATGCGGATAGATTAGAATAAAGAGAGTTCAGCATACGAACCAATTTGTTCACGAAAATTATGCCAACGGCAATTACAAAATTGAAGGTAAGAGCAGTGGCAGGGCCACATAGCTGTTGTTGTTGACGCCTTGCACCATCGGATGAGCGGAATTCATTAAAAAGAACAGATCGCAAGTCTTCTAGAGCTCTTCCTGAGTTCATATACAGAAAATAGAGAAGAAAATAAACGATATCAATGAGCAACAACATACTAGAGATGTATAACCAAGTTATATTCCCTACAGAATCAAAGTCCAATAATAATAAGATATGATTGTCTCTCGTGGCCGAACTTAACAAACTGTAATACCTACTTATGAAAAATAACAAATGTCAATCCTTACATTTTGTTTTGCTCAACATACAGATAATGTATATGATGGTCATTTATAATAAATATCCATATGCACATTTCAGCTCAGTAAGAAAGGACTATCATATACATGAATTCATTAAGACTGGAAACGAGATAATATAATTTTCCTAGAAAATTATATTGGATGTAATATGCTTAACAAAAATTGGACACTCAGGAAAAACAAATCAAAATGTAAATATCCGAGCCAATAAATAAATAAAATTATATATTTCGTTCAACAAAAAATCAAACAAACAAACAAACAAACAAAATAGCTAAGCATAAAAAAAAATTTAGAATTAAGTACCTAAAATCCCCCAACCTTTTAGTGTCATTCTAAATTGATCTCAACCTTTTTAAACAAATTCAAACAAGCACCCAACTTATTGAAAATGTCACACCGTTAAGCCCCAGTTAATTATGTTGAAAATCCACCAATTGGGTATATCATGGTCAACATTAATATTCATTGTCTCAAAATCTATATTTCAAACATAAATTATATAATATGGAATCCAATGATAAACAAGTATTGAATTGAATCGAAAATGAATTCAAATTAAAATTACATCAGGAATGCAATCTTCTAATAAAGAAAGGGATAAGAATTCGGATAGGGTTTCAAGGAGCTTATTTCTGCTCATATGTTTTTTTTGTACATCGATTCTCGGCTTGTAAAGCTTTCAATTCTTCATTGTGGGCAGTGAAGAAGGTGCCGGCCAGATCATGGTAGTCCATACCATTTCAGCAACCTCCATGACCTTCTTCCCAATGTTGACGGCTTGAGTTGTAGGATGGAGTTAGTGGTTTTGCCTTGGGTTTGGAGGTGATGGCATAATGAGGGTGGTGGTGACCGTTAGTTGACTGAGGCTATGCTTCCATGACTTTCTATCGATTTTGGAGACAAAATAACCCTAGTTAATTTAACAGTTTTTTATCTACGGCTTAACAAATGTTATATTTTCAATAAATTGGAAGCTTATTGGGAAAAAGGTTAAAATCAATTTGAAATAACACTTCAAGTGTCGGGGTACTTAATCCAAAAATTTATTCACTCGTTTTAACCAAACTGCAATATAAATATAAACTACATGAATAAGGAGATTTTTAATAAATAGCTCACGCAAATCAGTCAATGCAATGAATAAGCAGACAGATATTAGAATCTGCAAACAAAAATAGCAAAACTCACAAGCAACATGTTTAAACCTTAAAACTGAATTCAACAAAATTATGACTCACAAAAACGAAAGCCACAAAATTTGTGAGAAAACCCAGATCAACAAACCCTTCATTCGTAGCTTATTGGATGAAAATACAATTACCCAAATGGGCAAAAATGTGAGGTAAAATCCCCGAAAGGGTCCACATTTCAAAAAAATTCAAACCAAAATAATTTCTTTCAAGCTAGCTGCTGCAGTGAGATTGGAATTTGTAGAAGTGGCAAACGATACCTCTTTCACCAGCATCACTATCCTTGCGCTTGAGAATCTTCCTAACGCCTTTCCTTAGAAAGAAATTTAACATTTTTATGGATACAAAGCATGAAGCTTTCGATTTCTTTCACTCCCTCTCTCTCAGCAACAATGGCAACGGCTCTATTTTTGGGTTTCTAGATAGAGAAAGGAGAAAGCTAGGAGAGAGAGAGAGAGAGAGAGAGAGAGAGAGAGAGAGAGAGAGAGAGAGAGAGAGCAGGGCCGGGTCAGCAGCACAGCAGGAGTACTAAGTTTTGAGTTGGAAGAGAGAGAAAGACAAGGATTTAAGAAAGAAATAGGATTCCGTCCCTTTCCTTTCTTCCTCTTATATTTTTAATTTTATCTTTCTCTTTCTACATAAAATTAATTTAACATGTTGACGTAAATTAACCTTGATTGTTCAAATAGTAAAGGGCAAGAAAAAAGAGAAAAAAAAAAAAAAAAAAATCCCACTCCTTCGTGAAAATGGCGAAAAGGGAAATCCATTTGTGAGACAGGAGGAGAAAGATGTGTGTACAGTGGACAGCGGTGATGGCGGAAATTTGAGGTTGTCTGTCCGAGGGAGAGACTGAGAAAAAGAAAACAAAAGCAAAAAGAGATTGAAGAAATCACGCGTACATCCTACTCCAGAGTACCGACAGCTTAGCACTGTTTATTATGTTTTTTTTTTCGTTTTGTCATAAGGGAAAATTTGTCTATCAACGAATGTGACTTTATCTCAACAATATTTAAAAATAAAATAAAAATGTGAGTTAGGTTTAAAAAAAGTTTGTGGGCACTACTCAGTAGTATTATTTGAGAGTATTCCTCTTCATTTAGAAGTGAGAGATTTTATATTTAAATTTTGTAGATAGCGAATTTGATATCAAATCAGGCTGCCCATTATGTGGCCTTGCCGAACTCCCTCTACCCTTAGTGTAAAAAATATCGATGTACTCAAAAAAAAAATTTGTGGACAAATGGATGTAATGACGGATAATAATTATGTCTATAGAGTATGCATTCTGGTGTGAGTTTAACCACCATCGATTTCTTTTTCGCTCTACTCAAAATTAAAGTTTTTGGATGACCAAATTTTATGCTTTCAATGTTTAATGAAGAGATTTTTTAAAAAGGAAAGGAGTTTAAAGTTTATGATATTATATTTATGAGATTTAAAACAGTGGTAGTTTATTATTTTTTATTTATTTAATTATATTATTAATGTGACAACCCGTCTCTAATTTTACGATAATATAAATTTTAAAAGTGTGAATTGATGAAACTTAGAGGCAAGGATTTTGACTACCGCTTACCATTATTTAGAAAGATGTATGACTTGTTCTTTTAGCATATTTGAGTAGTACTCGTCGATACGAGCGCGTGAGCATAAACGGAACGTAATTTGGAGGTATAACGAAGGAGTTACTAACGTTTAAAGTTTGGGATATTTTAGTAAATTTGACCTTCACTCTAGAAGGCTCCAGATGTTCTGGAGCAATGTGATGTGCCACGTGTGTGGCTGGGATGAAAGGAAATAAGAGAAAGGAGAGTGATGGATGGCTGTATGAAAGGGATATGAGTGAAAATGAGGGATTGGGGGGCTGCGCACTCAGAAACAAGAGAAGGGAGGGGAAATGAGAGAAAAGAAAAAAAGATGGAATTGGATCCCTTTGAAGACTCGCTACCCGACTTGAGTTCCGGCGACTTTCCTGACGGTTTTCCATCCATTTTTCCGGCTTTCCTCACCCTTCCATCACCACTAAACCTCATCACAACATCCCATCATCCCATTCTAGTCAAAATCGACAAGAATTGGTTATGATTTCACGAAGTTTGAACCCGTGGGTGTCGCAGAAACCCTTGCCCAAGATCCACCAATTCTTAAACGATTTCATTCAATTACCACCACCAAAACACTCCTTTAGAAGTTAAGAACAAAGCTCAAACAGGTTTGAGTGTGGTAGAGCATCAAAGGTGATGAATCGAAGCCACCTATTTCTAGGGTTTCTGGCGAGTTCGAGTGAAATTAAGGATTTTTCTGGCCCAATTGGACTTGGCCACAGGTATAAAACTTGCTCTACTCATTAAGATATTCAATTTTATGAAATTTAGTAATTTTTTGAAATAGTTGATTTTTCCGGCGAGTTGGGGCAGCCAGCCGCCTCGTGTGGCGACGCATGGGCCGAGACCCCACCTAACCATCATAGGCTAATTTGAAGACCCGATTCCATAATTGACATCCGTTTATTGAAATCCTGATGTTTTAATATAGTTTCGTAGTGGACCGGCTAGTTGGCCGCCACTTGGTTATTATATAAATGGACGATTCGACAGTTGGATCGACACCAAACTTTACTACGTGATAATACGTAATATTTATGGACATTAGGAACTTATGGATCGAGAATCCGACGTATAAATCTTCCCAAATTGAATTTCTAAAGTTTGTAAAATCTAACGTTGACAACTACTTGAATTTGCGATTGGCGGAGATCTAACCGTTGGATCGTAAAGAAGTTTTAGTATGTTATTCTGGAACCATAATGTGGACTTTGGGAAGTTATGGATCAAAAATCCACAGGCGGATGTTCCAGATTGACTTGTGTAGGGTTGTGGACCTCACCTTTGATAGAGAATCCGACGTACGAATCTTCCCAAATTGAATTAATCTTAAATATTAAAATCAGTATTACTAGAGACTATGTAGGGCTTAGTAGGCCTATATTGATTAGTGAGTTGACCTAGATAATATATACATCGGTTGACTTTTAGGGTTAACCGTTAACTTTTTGTAAAATTTGGCTGGGACCCTCCTTAGCATATTTCGACGCACTAATTCTGAATCTGCCATCCGTTTTTCAAAATTCGACTGTTTTAGGATAGTTCCTTTATTATCCGTACTTTGTACGAAAACACGTAATTTCATTAGCACGTTATATTTACCTAAATGGTTTTGTTTCTAGGCAAAATGCATCGCAAGGACTCTCGATGCTACAAGGTGGGTTCGACTTGGCAACATGATCTGTGAGTGGGTCTTTTCTTTATCTCTACTAATTAATGAAACCCTCTTTGTCAACCAAAAGATGATGAAAAGACAACTTAGTCTTCTATCACGCAAAAAAAATGATGGGCAATAATGTAATTTCACAGGTTCAAATTTTACTTTTTTTTTGTTGAAGCCTCACCTACAGGTGATGTTAAAATATCTCTAATATTTAAAATTTAAGAAAAAAAAACCAAAAACAAAAACCTCCTTCTCCCCCCCCCCCACGTTCTCTCTCTCTCCCTCTCTCCATATTTAAGGTTGTTTGTACCATACTTGACCAATCCAGAAACTACTGAGTACCGGTTAACGTTATACCGTCAAGGACCCAGAAGAGTTTCCCTCCAACCAGGAGGCCAATCACAGCGCGACATGTGTCGACATCAGAAGTCAATCATAGTGCGACACGTGTCAACATCAGAAGCCAATCACAACACGACACGTGTCAATGTCAGAATGAAACTAGAAACTTTTTTCTATAAATAGAGATCATTCTCTCAGAATATTGCCTAATGTCATTTGTACTAAATCATTCACTAGTACTCACTAAAGGAGAGCTTGAACCTATGTACTTGTGTAAACCTTTCACGATTAATGAGAACTCCCCTACTCCGTGGACGTAGCCAATCTGGGTGAACCACGTACATCTTGTGTTTGCTTCCATGTCCCTATCCATTTACATACTTATCCACACTAGTGACCGGAGCAATCTAGCGAAGGTCACAAACTTAACACTTTCTGTTGTACCAAAGTCCTCACTAATTTTGTGCATCAACATTTGGCGCCGTCTGTGGGAAATGACACTTATTCTCACTCTCTTCAGCTTTGTTAAGCTGGTTTCCACCATTCGTACACTCTCTTTTGACCAGGCATCCCTCTCCAACATAGGGAGCGAAGGAAGCCACAACACACAGAATGACACCCCTCTTGCACCTAGTCCAAAGCAACGAAAAAAGGAAAGAAAGAGGGTTACTCTTCAAGCTAAAGTCGATGAGCTAGAATCTCAAAACAACAAGATAGCAATGAAGAATGAGGTCCTCCGGGAGCAGTATGAGAAGCTCTTTGAGATGCTCCATGAAACTAGGTGTACTCAAACACGCGAACTCATTACCCTTGTGGACATCAACCATCATCCGGATGCCTTCCAACAAGGAGGGTCACCTTTCTTCGACATGGGTATCCCTGATGAGGAGCGAGCTAATCATCAAAACATTGACCAACATGAGACTTCTCTCAACCCAGTTGCTTCGATCCAAAGCAGGAGAAGTGGAGGAAGACACCTCTTTGCAGAAAGGTTAGGAGGATCGAAAGTCGTTTATCGTGATTGCCGAGACTTCCTAAAGCAACGTCGAAAAAATCCCCTCCACATAAGCTCGAAGATCAATAACCCAAAGGTTTTTGAAAGACTCGGTCCCTTCCCACGTCCCAGGCCGGCTACCAATTTGGGGAAGGGGCAACAAGTCCTAAAGAAACACGAAAGTATAGGGGACTCAGAGATGTTTCGACAGACATACCTTGAAAGTCAGTATGGCGAGTCCGGGGAAAAATCACATGCTCTTGATCAAACATTCTTACTTCCAAGAAGAGATGGAGATTTACGAAGGAAAGCTCCAGTGGTACATGACTCCACTCAGGACCCTCTTGTCTTACAGCTTCTTAAGGAAGTAAACAAGTTGAAGGCCGAACGACAAGCTGAGATACCTGATTGGAACCAACCTAGGCCTGGCCCTCTTACAAGGAGGATCCTCGACACCCCCTCCAAGCAAAGACAAAGCAGAAGCTTGGCTTGCAACACTATACTGGAAAGGAGGACCCGATTGAACACTTTAACCTCTTTGAGTCCACCATGGCACCGGATGCACACCGACGAAGAGCGATGTCTTCTCTTCCCCTCCACCCTCTTTGGCGGAGCTCTAAACTGGTATTGCTGTCTTCCACCTGAGACGATAGACTCATTTGAGGAATTGAGGAAACTGTTTGTTTCTCAACACATTTTCCAGACCGATCGCTTGCATTCTGCAGATGACTTGTACATTATTCGCCAAAAGCTGGATGAGTCACTACGAGAGTATGCCGGTCGCTTCAGCCATGAGTATTCTCGTTGCTCTGAGGCAGATGACAAGACCGCCTTCAAGGCCTTCACGGCAAGCCTACATGATTGTTTCTTCAAGTACATGATCAATGCCAACACTTGGAAGATTTACTCTGAGGTGATGGCACAGACTTACAACCATGCCTCTGCCAAGGCAAGGACATATCTAGGGAAACCCCCCACAGCCACCCCTTATCAGCAAGTAGGGAGTGGAAGCCAGATCCAACCAAATGAGAAGACCTTGACCTTCC